TGACATCCCGCATCTGAGGGAAATATTCCCCTTAGGAACGGTCTCGTCTCCGGTTGACCTCAAACCAACCAAACACGCGCTTAGAGCATTTCTAGCAGGAGCCGTCAAATCAAAACTCTCATTTTTTAGGGTTTGTTTTTTTACATTTGTTCCAGCAGAAGCCATCAAATCCATCGTAAAAGACAATGACACGTGGGACCTACCTGTCATCATATTTTCTTTCTCTTGTCTACCGAGATAATGCGGACGAACAACGTTGGGTTCGCTGGGGCCAGGCAAGTTCGCCCGCGCCGGGCAGGAGCGTCGCACGAGTTCTCCTGTGCCGGGAGGATCCGCACCGAGGAGGACTCAGCGTCGTGGCCGCGGGTGAGGCGTCCTCCTGATGCTGGGGAAAAGGCCATGGGCTAGAGTCCGTCGGCCACCGCTATGGAGGAGGCCGCGTCTCCAACCACCGGAGAGGAGGAAGGCTTCGCGTCAAGAGGTGCCAGGGGGAAGCACAACAGGCTCTGGCAACAAGGATTCCGGATGGAGGAGGAGGTAAACCGCTAAAACCGAAAAGTTGGGGTCTTCTCTAGGGTGAGGGCTCGAGGGATGAATTTGAGGTCCTCCTACTTTTGAGGGTCTAATTAGAGGTCGTCTCATTCCACAAACCAAATGACAGACAAATGCTACATCATCATAGTTTTTTTTTGTCTTCATATTCCATCCTTTTTGGTTTCTAAACGGTTTTAGGCCTAAGATAAAGGCAGAATGCATCAGCAATCTTCCACCTGACCTACACCCAGACTTCTAATTTCCTTTACTCCTTTAACAAAAGAAAAGCTGATTTTCCACCTAATTAATTGATCTGACTTTTCGAAAAGCGAAAGCGAGAGGCGAATTAAATAATGGTGCCAACCGAAGGCCAAGTCGCTAGCCGAGCTGGAAACATACGGTTTCAACTTTCAAAGTTCAAATCCAAAGAACAATGGCGGTCAGTGTGTCCCCTGAATGATTCCATTCTCACGGTCATTGGCTGTGAAAACGATCAAAGTTCAAAGACACGAGAAAGGTTTCAGGTTCGGTTCAAGCTACTCCAAAGGCAAAGACTCAGGCTGGCACCATTTTCTGCTGGGCTGCTATACGTTACTTTGGCTGGGAACAAAGGGCAATTGGACTCGAGAATCAACGCCACGCCTCACGGTAATCCAAAAGGTGACACCCCATGTTCCGCGGCATAAAAGATCGTGTTATTTTGACTTAAGACACCGCGAAGCATGCATAGGAGTATATACATGGAGAAAGGAGACTAGCCATGCTTGAATTTGAACAGGGCTTGTGCTAAATTTTGGTCAAATAGAAACACATTGGTTGGACCGTTGGGGCACGTTTGAACTGCAGCCTTTTTTCTTGATCCAGTTACCGCGCGACGCCATTCTCAACAACTCAAATTTAGGGCCTGTTTAGATTCCAAAAGTTTTATGCAATCGAATCTTCAAGACACGCATGAGTTTAGCAGAGACATAAAAACTTTAAACCTAATTAGTCCATAATTAAACACTAATTACCAAATACAAACGAAATGCTACAGTGAGCTAAAATCCAAAAAATTTTGGATCTAAACGGGGCCTTAGCAAGACCGCAGCACTGCTTCAGTAGTAACGTAATCCATCCGTCCTGTAATATAACACACATCCAGGCATTCAAATTATACTCAAATACTATTTGCATAAATATAGTAGATATTACTTGCTATTTATGAACCAATCACTATTAATCATATTGATGATAGCCTCTAATTTAGAAATAAACTGAAGGCATATATCATTTGCGTTTTCTCTTAATCTGTCATAAAATCTATAGAATGCACTGTATTAAAGACAAAGGGAATGCTTCCTCCGTCTCAGAATAAGTATCGTTCTTACTTCTCGAGAAGTCAAATGTTTTTTAACTTTGACCAAATATGTAAGAAAATATTAATATTTATAACAGATAAGTAATATCATTAGATAGATCGTTAAATCTATTTTCATAATAAACTTATTTGGATATACAAATATTACTAATATTTTCTTGAAATCTTGTTAAACTTAAAAAAGTTTTGCTGGCATGAATACCATAGCTACGCTTATTTTAGGACGGAGGTAATAAGTAAGTGTCTAAAAAAAATCTCACATAAGGTTAAGGACACCGACAAATATACATACCCTCGTCTCCTTTCTTTTCTCGGAGGATATCTCTTAAACTTAGGACTTAGGAGTTATTGTTTGCATGGATCCATGATTAATTTCCGTATGAGGAGGTGGTGTTTCATTTTATGTAGAATGTTTTTTGGACAAATTTTAAATTTTAGAAATTATTTATTTCGAGACAGACGTGCCTCGAATTCCATGCAAGTGTCCATTCTCGAGAGGATCCGAGATTCCGAGAGCTTAGCACTTTGGTAGCCAGGCTCCAAATGCCAGCACCTATACAGATACAGTGAAAGTAGCCAGAAGCATGCATACAGATACGGACATTCGGGCCTTTTTTTGGTGTCTCTTATCTCTCGAGTCTGGACCAATACTCCTAAATCACACTACTCGAGTGCCAGTGGCTGCTAGCACACGGCGGTGCCGGTGCCTGCGCCCTCTGGTCCTCTTTGCTCGCCATTACCAATCGGCAGCTTTGCCACGATGGCTGGCTGTAGCCCCTTGGATTTCCTGCTGGTCCTTGCGGTTTTCTCCTTGCCAATGTCCTATTCTTGTTCTGGGACACGACAATTCAGTTCAGTCCTTGGTGTTGCTGCCCGTGATACACTGTAGTACTAGGATTATTACACCGTTGCCACCGTTGGTGCGTTACCAAGGCCGGCTGGATTCAAACCTGGCCTGTCTTGTAACTCTCGATCACTGACACGCCAAGTCTACTTAACTGGCAAGATGAGTGGGCTTTACTCAAAAAACGGCATTAACTTAGGGCGTGTTTAGATGGCGAAATTTTTTGGTTTTGGTTACTGTAGCACTTCGTTTGTATTTGGTAATTATTGTCTAATTATGGACTAATTAGGTTCGAAAGTTTCGTCTTACGATTTCTCACCCAACTGTGTAATTAGTTTTATTTTTTGTCTATATTTAGTACTCCATTCATATACCGTAAGATTCGATGTGATATTTTAGGATAAAAATTTTTGAAACTAAACATGCCCTCAGCGTACTCTCACGCCGTAGATTGCGGTTGGAATGAAGTAGGAACACGCCTAAGCCCTAGGCCAATGATAGATTATTTGAAACGAGCCGAGCGTGTTTGCCCCCAGCTGATGATGAGTTCCGCTCACGCAACATGCCGACAAGCTTCAAAGTTGCCGCAAAGAAAGAATCTCTCTCCGATTAATCTGATGCAGATCGTGTAATGCACATCTGGCCTTCCTTCATTTTCAATCGAGAAATGAACGCCTGGGTAGCAGTAAAACTCGTTTTTTACTATCCAGCAGTACTAAAACCCAAGTGCCTAATCCATCCATCATTTGTAGCAGACCTGATCATAGCATTCACGTGATCAAAAAAGGTTTTTTTTTTGGGGGGACCACGCTGAGACTGAGAGCCTGAGACCGGATGCCAAGGTAGATACCCTTCCAGCGAGGTGTAAAGCTGCGTACGACTAGTACTGCAGTGCCAAGGCTGGTGTAAAAACAAACAAAACAGTACTACTACTACAGACAGCAGTAAACAAAAGCATAGAGGGGTGGCGCAGGCCCAATCAGACAGGACTGGCAGACGTGACACTGCCTGTGGGCCCCGCGCTACGGGCTGCGCAGAAGAGAGCTCCTCGCAAGAACCGATGGGGACAGACAGGGGTGCGACCGTGCGAGGGCGAGATATTGGTATGCCCAGTTAGGATACTGTTGGGAGTGAGGTGTCTGGAGCACACAAAGCAGCCGCTACAGCGGCGGTCGCAGTACGGCCTCGAGCTTGTGGTACAGCTGCTGCAAACGCAAGGAGCAGCAAGCCAGCAAGAGAGTGAGAGCACGCACAGTCACCGCAGCGGGATAAAGATAAAAGAGGCGGAGCGGGAGGACGAAGGAGGAAGAAGACGAGCAGAGCAGGGAGGGAAAAGGAGGAGAATCCGAGAAGAAATTCAGAGAGGGAGGGGCGGAGGGCCATGATGGCAGGTGGTGTGGCGTCGTAGGTGGTTAAAGCGAGGGCGCCCCTCGTCGTCCGGTAAAAAGCTCTCTCTCCCTTTGCGCTCTTTTCTTTCCGTTGCTTTTCCCCCTTCCCTGCGCCCCTTCTTCTTCGTCTTTCTCCGGCCGGCTTTGGGGAAAGAGATGATGTGAGGTTGCCATCAATCGCGCCTGGCTGGATTGCTAGATGCTGCCCGTCTTTATTACGGCTGTCACTGAGCTGGGCTGCGGCGGAGGGCGAGGTGAGGCTTTCGTGCGCTGGCCTCTCGGTGGGTTTCGTGATGCCTTAAAAAAATTTCAACGAATTTTGTTTCTGGTTCTGGATTCTCGAGAGACAGGGGAGGGTTGTTTTGGTGAGGTACGTGTGGTCTTGTTGGTTGTTCTTCCAAACGGTGTTTCTGGACTTGTTAGTTACTGAGTTTTTTGGCTGTTCTTGGATTCTGGAGGTATAGGGGGGATGATTTATGTTCTATGATAACATAGCAATTAACTGTAGGATCATGACTGATTTGGTGTGGTTGTTCATGTTTGATTTGAAGACAGGTCTAGTTCAGAATTTACCTAGTATTTGTCTGCTACTTTTAAGCAAAATTCCTGATGGAAAAGATGGCTCTGAACTTTGAAGCTCTTGTGAAATGGGGAAATCATATGATTTGGTGGGAATTACGAAGGATTCTAGGGGTCGTGCTCAGTGCTGAGAGTCATAACATAATTTAAAATTCATCTTCTCTTAGTTGATTTTGTGAGCAATACACTCTCATGATTCCAAATGGCAACTTCAGTTCATCAATTTGACTCTTGTCCATCACTACTCAGGTCTATGAGCTGGTATTAGAACTGGTCATAATCTTCCGAAGGAAACATGGCGGAATCTAAGGTTGCAAGTGTTGATGCCCGGACCACAAAGATCAGAAATGTCCCCATTGCTGTAACTCCAGAAGGGTTCTGGTGCTGCCCGTCGCAGGCCGTGCTCCAGAAGACGGCGAAGAACCAAAACCAGCAGGCGAAAGCGAAACCCAAAGGGGGTGCCTCGCCTCTTGCATCAAAGGCCTCGTCAATTCAGAGGGCACCAACAATCTCATCCGAGAGAAGGACACACTCGATTCCGACAAGGGCTAAAATCAATTCAGAGGAGCAGAGGTGCTTGCCAGCAGAGGATGCTGCGACTAATCCACCAAAGGCAGTGAATGAAAGGCCACAGAAGCAGCATAAGATATCTGTTGGATTTGGCCAGCTCGAGATGAGTGACTTGAAGGTGGTGCTGTATGGCAAGGATGGTGTTGCGGTAAAGATGAGCGTTCACAAGAACATCCTAGCTGAAAACAGTACCTTCTTTGCTGATAAGCTCTCCAGGCAATCTCCAGTGTCGAGTATAGAAGTGCCTGATTGTGAGGATGTGGAGATTTATGTTGAGACTGTTGGGTTGATGTACTGCAGTGATGTCAAGCAGAGGCTGATCAAGCAAACTGTTCCTCGTGTTCTTCGAGTCTTGAAGGTTTGCCCTAGTTAAAAAAATTCATTCTGTTTTGTAACACTACTGCTGACTAAATGGCACACTTACTAGAATTAGTTTCATTATTCAGTATCAAAGGATCACACCAGAATTCAGGGTTCAAATTAGGTCACTTATATATTACTGGAGGCAGTATTCTTATTGCAGTCTGACCGGCGTTTAGTATTAATAAACTAATGATCCTTAAATATAAAAAAGAACCCATTATTCGGTGTAACTGAATGGTGCCTGCATGTCCGGTTCATGTTGTTACAAGGGATATTGTCTGCTATACCCATAATACTACAACATGCCACTTAATGTATGGATGCTGACAAAGACTGCCTTGTCCTATATATTTCGCACATACCAGTTGGTGGGGGTTGGGACAAATTTCAAGCTAGGCAGGCTGTCATGAATTATGTTATTGCTTTATGGGGCAAATGGCACAGAAAGATAATTGCACCAATCAGGCCCATGACTACATGGACCGTGGCCATACCATGCTAGTGTGGGGCCTTAATTGCGATCGACCAATCTGGACTCTTCAGAAATCATAAAAATGCAGCTTTTCTTTTACTTAGGTTTTATTGTTCCCTTAGTATTTTTTTTGGCTATGCAGGTTGCAGAGCTGTTAGGTTTCCCAGCATGTGTCATGTCATGCTTAGATTACTTGGAAGCCATCCCTTGGGTTGGGGAAGAAGAAGAGAATGTGGTCTCATCTGTTCGGAATCTTCAGAGTGAGAACTATGGTGTTAGTCCTGTACTGAAGAGGGTAGCGTCTGATCTAACCACCCCACCAAATGACACATTTTCACATATCATTGAATTGGTTTTGAGAAGCAATGAGGATAGGGGGCGGCGTGAGATGAAATCTTTGGTACAGAAGCTTCTGAAGGAGAATAACACTAGCAGTATAAGTGGATCTTCTGACTTGTGTTCTGAGACCCTCTACAGATCATGCCGGAACTGCCTGGATTCCTTGTTAATCTTGTTTCAGCAAGCAACTGACAGTGATTTTGCTGAGCAAGCTCTTAATATTAAAGAACCAGTTTTCCGACAAATTGCTCTAGAAGCAGATAATCTGCTTTGGTTAGCTGAGATTTTAGCTGACAGGAATGCTGCTGATGAGTTCGCTGTCATATGGGCTAGCCAACGTGAGCTGGCTGGGCTGCACTCCAAGTTGCCAGTTAAGTCGCGCCACCTTGTCAGTTGTGTCACGGCGAGGCTATTTGTGGCAATTGGGAAAGGAGAGATGCTCCCTTCAAAGGACACAAGGCGGCTTCTCTTGGATGTCTGGTTGCAGCCTCTCATGGATGACTACAATTGGCTACAGCACGGTTGCAGGTCATTCGACCGGAAAGTGGTGGAGGAAGGTATTGGGCGGACCATCTTGACGCTCCCGCTGGAGGATCAGCAGACGATCTTGCTCTCGTGGCTTGGGAGCTTCTTGAAGGTTGGGGACAGCTGCCCCAATCTCCAGAAGGCCTTTGAGGTTTGGTGGAGAAGAACTTTCATAAGGCCTTATGCAGAGCAACAAGGTAATCGATCGCAATCAGGTGGGAGTTGAGATATGACTCAATTGGTTGCAGAAGAAAATAGTCTTGTTTCCTAGTGTGGTATATTGATGAGAAATTAGAGTGGTAATTTCTTACATGGTATGCTGTGTGGGAGATCCCCAGTATGTGGAAGAAATGGGGGTATAACTGTATAAATACTAGTACTCTTGATCTGTGAGGCTTGAGAAAGTTTGCTTTGTGCTTGTGATGCTTCATATGTATGTGAAGATCTCTGAATTCTGGGTACAGAATTTGTATCATCAGGCATCTGTTTGTTGCTCTGTTCTGCTTCTTACAACGTTGCGCGATTGTTAATTCTACTGTCCTAAGGATCTCTTATGTAAAAGAACTCAATGCCTTCGATGCAATTGTAAAGATTTTGCAGAATCTGTTCTTCTGAAGTGAAGACATCAGTTTCCATGTGTGTTGTTTGGATGATTGCCAGTTTGAAATGGTGATGTAACATGTCACTCTCCTGTTGAGCCCAAATTCTTGATCATTGATTCATTTCCACATAAGAAACTTCCAAACCGATGACCTATTTGAATCCAAGTGATATATCGCTGTAAAAGAACACCTGGAAAATTTAAAATATTTTTTCTACCTTCTTTAGGTGAAAATTTTGAAAGAAAAAAATACTACTTATAAACAAAAGAGTTCTATTTAGAAGAAAAGATCAATTGTAATTTAACTGATACACTGGTGTAGTGGTGTGACACACCAACCAACACAAGATGAAGCAGCAAATTGCTTCACGCAAGCAGCAACATCAAGTACCTAGATGACACATTTGCCCTGTAGCAACTTGCATTGGCTCATCTGGATGCAGACCTATGAACAACCCTTTCATTCTTCAGGGCTCTGAAAGTGAAGATTCACTATGTAAGCCGGAATCAGTTAGCTCATCCTCCTCTGGAACTCGTGGAAATCGAGGCCACCGTCGCCGTCAACGTCGTAGGGCCGAATCATGGCCTCGCAGTCGGCGACGGAACGCTTGTCTCCGAGCTGGGCGAGCACGGCCGTGATCCTGCCCGCGATGTCCACGGCGTTAAACACCTCGAACGCCCTGCGCAGGTCCTCCTCCTGGCCGCCCTCCCTCTCCATCAGCGCCACGAAGCCGGCGAAGTCCAGCATGTAGCCACCGTCGCCGTACGACGACGGCATGTCGTCGCCCATGGACACGAAGAAGGCGCGCAGCTCGGCGCCGGAGATCTTGCCGTCATTGTCCCGGTCGAAGTGCTGGAAGATCCGCTGCAGCTCGCTGTGCTTGCTGCTGGAGCTGGAGATAGACCCGGACCTGGACCCCCTGCCGAATGACGACGACGACGACGACGACAGCCGCGTGACGGCCGCGCCCCTCGGGCTGGCCACGTCCGACTGCCCGCACATGAACGGCAGCCTGAAGCTCCGTTTGCTCGACGCCCGCTTCGCCATTTCTGTGCTGTCGCTGCTCAACTCTTGCAAGAACCAGGAAGCTAGAGTCCTGCACTTAGCTTGTGTCACTTCGCTTGTGCGCTGCAGTCTGCAGGTATACAAGAACCAAGTGCAGGGGGCGCCTTTTGTAGCCGCGCAGCTCAGCTGCTTGTTGCTGGTTGCTGCGATCCGAAGAAGAAGCCGCCGCCCATGCCATGCATCTTTGTGTGGGGTTTGACCGGTCGTGGTGAGGAAGTTAGTTGGGCCTGCGTCGCAACTACCTCCCTCATCAGATACTGTCAGTTTGGCATTATCTAACTCCCATCAGACAACGTGATCATGTGCTCACGATCCCCGCGCCGCCGCCCACCGAACAACGATATCTCGTAATCCGTGATTTAGTTATGGGCTTCGAGATCTAGTGGTTCAGCATTTGAATTTGCAGTTTGGGGGCGCCTTGTGAGTTGTGACATGACAAAGCATGGATCGGACTTTTACTTCACTGAAAAATTCAGTGTTTGAAGGCATTCAGATTTCAGAAGCTGTTGACAGGACAAGTGATGCAGCGAGACAGTCATCTTTGAAGAATGCAGCCCTCTCATATGAAACGATTTCATCAGAGACAGGGAATAAAGGAAATCAGTGTTATATCCATAGAAACGATCTAGAGTAGAACCGAGGGACTTCTAGGTAACCAATTAATCTAGATAAGCCCTAGTATATCTAGACCGAGAGGTGGAGACAGAGAGATAGAGAGAGAGGTGTTGGTGTTGAACCTGAGCCCTCGGAGGGAGTCGCGGATGAACTGGAGCCGGCCATCTCAGGTTCGGTGATGAAGGTCTGCGCACGGGCAGCGACGGGTGGAGTAGAGGTGGCACAGACGTCGATGCAGTGCAGACGGACGGTGTGGCAGTGACGACAGCGAAGTCAGTGGAGCTTCCCGTCGCTGGCTGCGCGCCCTCTCAGCTTGGTCTAGGGTTTGTAGGTGGGGTTTGTGGCTCACGGTTAACCTCGTACCTCGAGCCGCCGGCCCCCACCACTTTATATAGCGCAGTGCGACGGGGGCCCACCAACCATATAGAGTTGAGCGCCCCCGATCAGGGCGCGTGACCAAGGCCCAATAGGCCGTTGGGCTTATTGGCTGGGAGATCAATCTAACATTCTCCCCCTTGATCTCACTATTACTTTTATCTTTAAACTTTAAACTTCAATCCTTTTATCCTTACTCATTTCTTCACAGATGATGCATAGAGTATGTTTCATTGTCACGGTCAATCGCCGATAGATTTAACAGCTACAATGCACGTCTCTAATATGAAATAATTACTTTAACTTTTGGGCCCTTTATAGTCCAGGAATCATAGGCTTTCCCTTAAACCCATGCCGGCTACATGTTCTCTGAACACGTTGGGTGGTAAGCCTTTTGTAAGCGGATCAGCGAGCATCTTTTCGATACTTATATGCTCAAGACTTATCATTTGATCCTGGACTTTATCATTCACAACATAATACTTTATGTCAATGTGTTTGGCAGCACCACATGACCTATTGTTGTGAGCATACTGTACTGCTGGATTATTATCGCAGTATAACTTCATTGGTCTATTGATGTCGTCAACCACCTTCAAACCGGGTATGAACTTCTTTAGCCAGTTCACCTGCCCCGTTGCCTCATAACACGCTACAAACTCGCATACATTGTGGACGATGTAGCGACGGTTTGCTTTGAGCTTTTTTATGAAATAGCTCCCCTGTGAGAGTGAACACATATCCAGATGTGGAATTTTTATTATCTCCCGCATAATCAGAATCTAAATATCCCACTATATGGAGTGAATCTGATCTTCTATACGTCATCATGAGGCCTTTCGTTTCTTGCAAATAACGCAAGACTTTCTTTACCAATTTTCAGTGTTCTATTTCAGGATTGCTCTGGAATTTGCCAAGTAACCTGGTAACAAATGCCAAGTCAGGGCGCGTACACACTTGAGCATATTGCAAGCTTCCGACAGCTGAAGCATATGGAACCACTTTCATTTGATCGATCTCATATTGGTTCCTGGGGCATTGAAAATTCCCATATCTATCGCCCTTGACTATAGGAGCAGGTGAGGGACTATATTTGTGTATACTGAATTTCTTTAAGACTTTTTCTATGTATGCCTTTTGTGACAGTCCTAATACCCCTTTACTTCTATCTCGGTGAATCTCGATCCCTAGAATGAACGAAGCTTCACCAAGATCTTTCATATCAAATTTTGAGGACAAAAACTTCTTTGTTTCCAGTAGTAGACTAACATCACTACTAGCAAGTAAGATATCATCCACATACAGGACAAGGAAGATAAACTTCCTATTCTTAAACTTTGCGTAGACACAATTGTCCTCAACATTATCTTTAAACCCAAAATTCTTTATTGTCTGATCAAACTTCAAGTACCACTGTCTTGAAGCTTGTTTTAATCCATAAATGGATTTCTTTAGGTGGCATCCTAAACGTTCTTTTCCTTCCATGACAAAACCTTTCGGTTGTGCCTTGTAAACATTTTCTTCTAAGTCTCCGTTAAGAAATGTCGTCTTTACATCCATTTGATGTAATTCTAAATCGTAATGTGCCACTAATGCCATTATGATTCTGAAGGAATCCTTACATGAGACTGGAGAAAAGGTCTCATTGTAATCAATCCCTTCTCTTTGTGTAAAGCCTTTTGCCACAAGTCGGGCTTTATATCTCTCTATATTCTCTTGAGAGTCAAGTTTTGTTTTGTAGACCTATTTACAGCCTACTGTTTTGGCTCCTTTAGGAATTATCTCCAAATCCCAAACTTTATTTGCATTCATTGATCTCATTTCATCTTCCATGGCCTCAAGCCACTTTGATGAATGATCACTTTTCATGGCTTCTTCAAATGAGGTGGGATCATCCTCCATTTGAAATTCCTTAGTGTTAGTACACTTCATAATCAGCAGGAATAACTGATTTTCTAACTCTTTGAGACCTTCTATGGGCCTCCTCATTTGGCACATTTTCTGTTTGAGGCTGTTGTTGCTCCCCCTCATGTGTGGCAATAGGTTCTATAGGATCCTGAGGCACAGGTTCCTCATCATCATTTATTATTGCCATAGACGGGATAACAACAGGTGTTGGCACCACAGTGTCTTGTACTGTCAGTGCAGCAACAGCAGGTAGTGAGAAAAATGGCTCATGAATGATCGGAGTGGGTGCATACACCCGCTTCTCTTCAAGGTCAATTTCTCGAGCTACCATGCTCCCCCTCATCATTTCATCCTCTAGGAAGACAGCGTGTCTCGTTTCCACAAACTTTATATGTCTATCTGGACAGTAGAAACGAAAACCTTTTGACTTTTCTGGATAGCCAATGAAATGGCAACTCACTGTTTTGGGATCTAGCTTACCAATGTTTGGGTTAAAAACTTTAACCTCAGCAGGGCTCCCCCACACACGCAAGTGGTTAAGTGAGGGTACTCTTCCTGTCCACAACTTATACGGTGTTTTGGGCACCGACTTACTTGGTACTCTATTGAGAATATGAACGGCGGTTTTTAACGCCTCCATCCATAGACTCATTGGTAAAGT